ATTAATGAATGAATACATTGATTAGTATAGTTTTGTTCTGTGAGCTGGTTGGTCTATAATTGAGAAGCTGTCAGTAACATGTCTTCAGCGCATACTTCAATTTATGAAGTATTCACAATTAAACGACCATCTAGCTGAGTGTGCATAAACTACGCCTAATATCATCCACCTGAGGGATAAATCGTCTCCATGATATCTGAGTACATTTATTTTTATTATCCCTGCTCTGATTACATATCGATTATCGATTTCCTTTAAATCTTTCATGTTGAGTTCTACCCGCCTTTCTCGAAGTTTTGTGTGTGTATGTGTAGGCGTAATTACTACTGCCTACTTGAGGAAAATATTCAGCTCATATACACATAACCTGCTCAAATCTTGTCTTATGCATACAATGCTGTGTTGTTCTGAGTGTTTCTCTATCTGAAATGCCTTTCCTTAAAAGGAAGATAATTACATGTGTTAGTCAAATTAGACTGTGGTATCAGTGAATGAATTTATTGGCTTTTGTATGGATTCGTATAAACTGTCTGCTGTTTTCTTCCTTATTTTTCACTCACTCCTTTCGCTTTCCGAGTGGAACATATGGGCTGAAGCTTTTTAGTTACAGTAGAGCTTGTGTTGTTTTTATGATGATATTGAAGTTGCTAACCTCATGCCCAACTTTCCCTCTTTTATCCGGACTTACTACGAGTTGAACGAGGTTTAGGAGAAGTGCATCCGTCGGGAATCGAACCTCGGACCACCTGTGGCATGGAGGGCGAGGATTCTACCTCTGAACCACTGAAGTACAATTTATTCCTTATTGGTGTGTCATATTTTAAAGTAGTACTTTTTAAAATCTTACTTGTCTGTGGTCTTCAAGTCAACGAAATGATCATTGTGAAATACAAATGAGTGCAAGGATAAAGAAAACTCCTGAAGATAACGAATCACAGTCAAGGTCATCAGAAGAGACAGTTTTACCTTAGAAACCCCCCCTCCTAAAAACAACTCACTTCAGAGTGATGCTAGTAATCACTGGCCCCCATAAACGATCTGGTATGACCTAGGATGGATAAGCTTCAGTCTTCCGGCCGAAATGCTCATATATGGCCATGTTTTCATAGCCTATACCAGATAAGTCCAGTTCCGTGTCTTCACACTGCGTGGGTGTTCCTCACAAAGTGAAAGAGAGAATCCGAACATCTAACGCTTACAACCGTACTGGTAAATATGCAGCTCTACCTAGGGAAGCTCATTCAAAATCGACGGTGTAGATGGGCTTCAGAATCAGAAAAGATCGAATGATGAATGAACCTGTTTGTGTTGTCAACACCCGTGAGAACGTAGTTCCTGACTGTGCTGCACTGTCATGTGTGTAGGACTTCAGGTGAGAGGCTCGGAGTGGGGTGGTTTTGGACTACCGAGCAGTATCCCAGCGTTCGCCGGCTTAGGCCGTCTCTGGAGCAGACGTGATATCCGGCTATCGACCAAAGAGTGGATGTACTGCTCAGCTGTCCACTCCGTCCTCTTTTATGGCTGTGAGCGAGACCTGGTCATTGAAAGTGGAAGACATGAAAGGCCAGCTAGCTAGCTGTCTTTGATCATAGGTGCCTGCGTTCTATCTCCCATGTGAAGTGCTATAATAGGGTGAAAAATATTGAGGTTAGGCTTCGGTTGAGTGCTAGGTGGGCGGGAGGGGACATCAATCGACGAGGCTGTGAAGCTATATCGACTGAGATGGTTAGGACATGCGTCTCTAGCCATCGCCTCCTTTGACTGCCAATTTTAGCTGACATAGGAGGGATCAGGTTTGGGAGAGCTAGCGGTGGTCAAACCAAAACATGGCACCAGTCAATGAAATCCACAACAGTTAGTTTAAGCCGACCACATAGGAAAATGCAGACTTCCTGGTTGGGGCCCTCGGGACGGTAAAAACCAATGAAGGCTGGAGACAATTATCGGTGATATGGCTCAAAATCGTTCTCGATGGTTGCCGCAGATGCGCCCACTCCTTGTGACTTACAATTTCCAATAAACACCGCATTAGTGCTGACAATAAAAAACCCTGAAATGTGTATTTTATGATTGTTTAGTGTAGTTCAATCAAATTAACTGATCATCTTGGCTATAAACATTCTTAAGAACATTTCATATGATTATAGCTGTTACTGTTCACCACGCATACTCATATCATAGCTCAAATACTGGAATATTATTCATTATTTGGTGTTTATCTTCCTTTCCACTTGGTATTTTTATTTGCATATTTTTTGTTATTTTTGTGTTTCTTTCTGGTTTTTGTTGTTGTTGTTGTTTTTTTATATTTATTTTTTGTAATACTCCTTTTAAATGTGCCGTGAAATTAGATACAATATTGTAGATATGTGCTGAAAATTCCACACTGTACCACTAGTACTGTTTCTGGAATAAAGCAAATGATTATATATATATATTATCTACTGAACCACTGGAGCAACCAGAGCCATTTCTTGTGCCACGTTTATCAGTTATCACTTCTTCCAGTCAGTTTTATTTCCCACATTGATTGATTTAACTGACAGATTTGTCAACAGAGCTCCAAAATGTCGTTCCAGTCAATGCAGTACTGAAATGTGGGAACAGTATTCAGACGATGAAACCAACAAATACAATGATGCTTACTATGAGAGTAATATTCCATTGGAATCCATTGTCTCTATCACACCACCACAGTTAGAGTTGGCATTTATAACTATGACTGACGGACTGAGTTTCAATGTATAGTACTTTGCATGGAAGTGCACAAGTCCAACTTGACTTAAACTCCATGTACCGCACAAAGCAGAGAGAAAAAAATAACTCGAAAGGAGCGTATAATCAGCAGAAATGTTCATGAGAAAGAAAACAAATAGTAATATCTAAAAACAGGGTTTAGTAGATATGAGAGGTCGCAAAGAGTGAATGCGTCTACATCATCATTCAGAAAGATTTTGAATCGTCTCACCAATAGTCGCCTTCTCCAGCCTTCTTCATTGGTTCTAAGCATCATCCCGACGACCTCAACCACCCACCAGGAAGTCGTCTATACCTCCTGCATGATTGACTCAAACCAACAATCAAAGACTTCATGAGTTGGTTTAAAGGGGTTTTGATTTCACTCCACCTAACTCTTTTCTTCTCACCTTATCCTAGATGTCAGGATATTACCCTTTTGAGTAAGGTTGTGACTGACTCGGCAGGTACAACACGTTTCTTAGCCGTCTCAATCGATTGACTTATCCCACTGTTATCTAACACTCTACGCCTAACTTCACTTTTACTCACCATATTATACCACTTAACCCGACTGGGAGAGGGAGAGAGATGATGGAACACAAACATCTGTGGTCAAAGACTAATTGTTTCAGACTACAGCTGTGTCGTTCTGAATGAAAACGCGAGTTACTATTTCGGTTGACAGGAATAAATCTTCGTCTCAATCAGATCCGAATTGGTGGTTTTTAAATTCCTGACTTGATGGTTTTATGTTAATAATTGTATTTGAATTATTGTGACGCACAATTCCACTGTCGTATCAATGAAGAAAAAAATGTATGGCATTACATTGGGAATTTTTTTTAGTAATTTGTGTTGTCATTTTATTGTTTAAGGTGTGTTTAGTTGTGTGTGTGGGCGTGTGGGCGTGCGCATGCTTGAGACTCTCTAGATATCCAACGGTTTTTCCACGTGTTTAAATTGTGCTGACATTGTTAATTGACTTTTTCATATCACCATGGTGATATATGTTGTATTTATGAGATAATAAATGGATTTATTCGATAATCTTTCAAGTTATCATGCTAATTTTACGCTGTGTGTACGTGTGAATAGCAAAGGCAATTATGATTGCATGACACAAGCAGTTGCAAATGTGTAGTGGTATAGTAGTCCAGGTTACTTTATATCAAGATATGCCTTTACAATCTTCAAGGTCACTTCCGTTTTATTCTGTTTTTACTCTGTTCGCCTTTTAGTTCCTTATTTTTCTTCGATTTCATGGTTCCCTGCGATTAGATTGCTGCTATGTGTGATTGAGTTTTAGAGCAGAGTTAGATGACGGTGGATTGATGGGTGTTGGTCGAACCGAAACCTGGCATCATTCCATCCAGTCTTTGACAGACACGTAAGGAGACGATGTAGAGGCTGTCTTGGTATGGCCCTATGAGTTCTAAGAACCAAAGGCTTGTGATGGTTGGTGATATTGGTTAGAGAACCATTGAAGAGCCTGCATGGAGTACTGATCAGCCAGCTGTTTTATCAGTCTAGTTTGGGACTCTTCGGTAGAGTACGCACCCACCCCACTGGTTTTCGAATTGACATTCGTTAGATAAGCATTAAAAATCTTTAACTGTTGGTTAGTTGTTTCGTCCTTGTTCAGGACTCTTCACCGATGCATATGAAAAACCAAACCCAGCATCCCACAGAGCGAGCTTGTCGACCTCTTCAGCTAATGAGACGGAATCTAATCACCCATGAATCCCAACTTCAACTTACTCGCAGTATATAGTGCCATCGCCAGCTAAAGTCGTCGTCGATGAGCATCTATTCCCACATCCAACCTGATAAACGGCGTTGATTACGACTGAATGAATGGTTAGTGAGCTTGACTGGTAACCTGAAGGTTCTCTGTTGCATTCTTGGCGGTTGGTTCATGGGTGCTCACTGTTGAAGAATTGCTTATAAAGTATTTAGTATTTAGTGGTCTTCTAACTGATGTCGGCTTCCTGATCAAACTCAAAACCAATGAAATCCTTGCAATTTATAACATATGAAAGGAAACCTGTAAAGTCAATCGAACGATGCTTTTTAATGATGTAATTGTTCCTATTCTTTGGGTTTGTGATTTTTTGTTTTTGTTGTTGTTGTAAAAGTTTATCTGAATTTTGCTTTGATTCAATTCATAAATTTGCCTTTATTTTGTTATTTTCCTGGTTGGTAATGGTTATTAGTTCCCTCACCGTACCTCTCTCTTTCCATTGGAATATTTTCCTTTGTAGGCTGTATGCTGCAGTGATGGTGAACACTGTTGTCCAAATGGTTATTCATGTGATCTGGCCTCTCAGAGATGTGTACAACAATTCACTTCTGCTTCTTCTCCATCTGATGATAATTCAAAGAAACCACCAGCTTCTGTTTCATCCTTATCACATTCAACAAAGATAACTAAAGACATCATATGTCCTGGTGGTAATTTCTCGTGTCCATCAAACACTACTTGTTGTCAAGTCACTGAAGGTGGATGGGGTTGTTGTCCATTCCCTAGGGTAGGTTTAAACAACTATTGACTTGTAATGGTTATACTTTTAGTGTGTTTCCTTACATTGCTGAATTATTTAACTAATTTTTCGAATAATCTGACCACACACACGGAGTCGTCATACGAGTATATATTTATGAAATTAATAAAAAGTTAAGAGGTGATAAAATAGGCTACTTGGGTCAAGTTAAAAGGACATATTGAAGGTCAAAATAACAATAAAGACCACTAAACCAAATAAGAGAGGTGATAGTATATCTACCCTGGCTAGTATCAAAACAAAGTTTATCAGAGAAGGTTTAGTATGATGACGAATTGTTTCCATGACCACATAAAGGTGGTTTAAACTTTCTAATTGCCAGTTGGGGCTTTCACAAACTTTAGGATACACTTTTCCGCAAACCTATTTTTATAGATAGGTTTAAAAGATGTGTAAACATCAATTTTATGTCCTGTCTCTATAATATGTTTCACAACAGAGGAGCTAGGTCGCCGTCTGTTCTCAGCATTCATAGATTCTGCGGATTCTATTTACTTCTAAAGCTATATAGGAATATGTTCTGAAGCCAGCCCTTATTTGCAGCGATCGACGAGTCTTCCGTATGTATGTATATTTACATTGAAATTAGTAAATACAGTTGGATGTGACATCCTTTTTCGCATGTGCAAAGGGCTTAAATGGATATGAGAGCTTCACATTCTCAATTGTTATGATCTTAGCTGCATAAAAAGTAGTTTTAACCACAGCAGGGTTCAATCTTTGTCTAGTTTTCAAGCCGCTATGATCCCCCACATAGGATAGCTTGACGTACACATCTTTCAAGCCAGTGTTAACAATATAATACGACAGTCATTGATATATACCACAGTCGAATGACCTTGAACCAATCAATCATGTACTTCAACACGAATAGTGACATTTTTTTGATAAAAGAATGTGCTTCTTGGATATATGTATGACAAAGAAATATCATGATTGTTGGACACCGGTAAGAATGCCTATGTTCTAGAATCTGTCGAAGAGTGAAGATATGATCAATACACCCTCTTCCTGGTCTAGAGCCTGCCTGGTTCTCCCGTGTTTGTGCCTCACGAGCACCACTTAGTCTACGCATGATTATTGAGCCTAGGACTTTAGATACTATATTAGTCAAGCTAATCCTTCTGTGATTATCACAGGAAGACTTGTCTCCCTTCTTGTATATGGGGATAATCAGTGATTTACACCAACCCAGACGCTGCCTAGAACTTCACTTAATGCAGATAGTAAACTGTCTCCACCGTACTTAAATACCTCTGGAGTCATTCTGTCAGGTCCTGCTGCTTTGCCTTGTTTCAGATTAGTGATAGCTTTAGTAACCTCAGTTAGGGACGGAGGACCTGTGTCTATATCCCATTCAGGTAGGTGTTGGATGTTCGGCAGGTTGAGCGCGGCTGTAGGCCAATTAAACCCACCCACCCTTTCTTATTTTCCATCTCCGTATTTTTATGACATTTATTTAAACTCTGATTATCGTTCCACTTCACCTTTTAAGATTTGACCTAATTTATTTATTTATTGAATTGTCTGCATATATGCATATATACATATACTACCTTTGTTATTCTTATCACCTGCATAAACCTTATTATCAATATTTTGTTATCATTATAATCGTCGTTATTAATTTCGTTCAAAACATTTACCACAATCAAATGAACTGTAGTCAATATTTGACAGAATAGTTCTATAATATTTGGGCGCCGAGTGAGAAGTAGACATTTGTAAAAAATTATATTTGTAAAATCTCAGCGATATCGAAATGAGTAATTCTAACGTTTCGTTCGGCAATCTGGTCCGAACTTCCTCAGCAGCTCAACTTTCAGAAAGAAGACAAAGTAATAAGTTTGACGGGGTTGTTCAACTAAACTCTAATCCTAAACACCATAATTTTGAAAATACGTCTAATCATAAAATTCTAGATACTAACAGTTTGAACAGACATGAAGGTGTGATGTTAGATGACGCATAGGAAATCCTGATTAATAAATAAGAATGGATATGTATCACTAATTAATAATACTTGGTCAAAGTTTCCCGACTGTCTATATCTACTTATGGAGACGTTAAGACATTGTTTTACAACTGTTTATCCGCACACACACACACATACACACTGTGTTTAAAGTGTTTAACAAAGGTAGATCAATATTAGTAAGTCTGAGGTCAAATTTTGATCACAACTCGTACAATTTTGTTTATTATACTTGTTAATATTTGTTTTATAAAGCATGATTGGACAAAGTTTTTAAAAACAAAAGATGTTCCTTTTATATATAAACCTGTTATGTTAATTTCGATTAATTTCCCTGAAGAAGTTCGGACCAGATTGCCGAACGAGACGTTAGAATTACTCATTTCGATATCGCTGAGATTTTACAAATATAATTTTTTACAAATTTACCACATTATTATTTATTGTTCCACAAAATAACCATCATTGGTTAAAAATTTTTATATATAAGTCTATGTAAATTAGAGTAAAGCCTGAAATGTGTTTATCAAGGAAGGCAAAGAAGGTCAACACCTTTGATTCGTGCTTGTTGACACTTGTTGACACACGGCGTACACACACACCTACAACCTTAGAGGAGTTGATTTCACCTGTAGGATTTTAAAGTCTTAAACTGTGTCTATGCTGTAATACTTAACAAACATTATTGACTTACATTGTGACATGTTTTAGAAGTGAGTCTATTCATGTGAGAAATTGAAAAACAAGCCCAGGGACAACCTTACCGATAGAGATTTGCAGGTCAAACGACTTCTTAACTGGATCCCAGTAGATAGTCGTATCTGTGCGATCCGTCTCAATAGTGGCGTTAAAAGAAGGAAAGACGGCACTTCTCGTCGTTGCCTTTTCGTAGTCTCCGCTTACGCCCCAACTGACTGCAGTTCGGATGAACTAAAGGATGACTTCTACCTGAAACTGTCTAATTTGCTGCAAAAAGCAAAACGTTCAGATATAGTTGTTTTAACAGGCGACTTCAATGCCCAAGTAGGGAAGTTGTGCGAGACTGAAAAGTATATGGGGGTACGTATGGAGTTCCCTGCCGACGAACCGACAACGGTGATCGTCTTCCACGGTTTTGTTCGGATAATCATCTGTCCCTAGTCAGAATTAACTTTAGGCACAAAGAGAAACATTGTGTAACCTGGCGATCTCCATCACCAAATCAACGCTGAACTCAGATACACCACACAGCCATAGGGTATCGTTGGCGAGGGTCAGAAGAAGACTGTCGCTTCTTCTGGAACTCGTGCGTAAACTCTGATCACGCTCTGGTTCGCGCACGTTTATGCTTAAGACTAGACGGACATAAGAAATTGACATCAGCGAAAAAGTTACGTCTCCAACTAGACCGAGACACTGAATCCCTATTTAAGGAAGAAATAGCGAAACGAGTGTCTGAGGTCGATAGCAGGACTTCCCCTGAAGTAGCCTGGCTAGCACAACATACAGTTAGCTGTAGACGCAGCTGTAAAAGCTGTTAATAAGCTAAAACCAAAATTTAGTAAGAGCCATTGGATCTCTATCGCCTCATCTGAACTTATTGACGCAAGAAGACTGATTCCGGCTAGCTCCGATTATGATGAGGAGCGAAAGGTACTCAAACGAAAACCAGCAAGAAGCCTTCGCAACGAATGTGAACAGTAGTGGGTGACAAAAGCGAAAGAGATGGAAAAGGCATCAGCGATCGGCAACACCAGACAACTATTTAGGCTTATCAGAGAAACAGGTGGTAAAAGGCAAATGATAAGTGAAACAATCTCTGAGAAGAATGGCACCATAATTAGCTCCCAAGATAGACGACTGGAACGCTGGAAAGAACACTATGAGGAGCAGTTTAATTGGCCTACAGCCGCGTTCAACCTGCCGAACATCCAACACCTACCTGAATGGGATATAGACACAGGTCCTCCGTCCCTAACTGAGGTTACTAAAGCTATCACTAATCTGAAACAAGGCAAAGCAGCAGGACCTGACAGAATGACTCCAGAGGTATTTAAGTACGGTGGAGACAGTTTACTATCTGCATTAAGTGAAGTTCTAGGCAGCGTCTGGGTTGGTGTAAATCACTGATTATCCCCATATACAAGAAGGGAGACAAGTCTTCCTGTGATAATCACAGAAGGATTAGCTTGACTAATATAGTATCTAAAGTCCTAGGCTCAATAATCATGCGTAGACTGAGTGGTGCTCGTGAGGCACAAACACGGGAGAACCAGGCAGGCTCTAGACCAGGAAGAGGGTGTATTGATCATATCTTCACTCTTCGACAGATTCTAGAACATAGGCATTCTTACCGGTGTCCAACAGTCATTATATTTTTTGACCTAAAGGCGGGATTCGATTCTGTCCACCGAGAGATTCTCTTGCGATGCTTGGCTATAAAGGGAATCCCGAGAAAATACATTGCACTGATTATGGCACTCTACTCGTACTCATGCAGCCAGATGAGGGCTTACGGCGAGTTGTCATCTAAAGTGGTGACGACTAGTGGTGTCCGTCAAGGATGCCCTTTATCCCTATTTCTATTCAACTTCATCACAGATGTACTAATGGACATAACCCTAACTCACTTCAGCAACTCAGTGATTGAATTGCTACCAGGGAATGATCTCGATGACTTAGCGTTTGCAGACGATATTGTCCTTCTAGGCGAGGACGCTGACAAAATGCAGAGTCTTCTGAACACCCTGAGCTGCAATCTACGAATGCTTGGCATGCGATTCGCTACCTTTGTCAAATGTTAGATGACTCTACAGGACTGACTGGACTACACTGACTCCTAGTTTAAAAATAGGAGGTGAAGTGGTAGAGCGTGTTGACCGCTTCACTTATTTGGGAAGTACCATCAGCCAACGCCAATAGGTTGATCTCTGACAAAATCTCAGCACGGATACAGAGGGCTAGTTTCGGATATGCCAGTTTACACCGTCTCTGGCGTAGACGTGATATCCGGCTGGCTATCGACCAAAGGGCGGGTGTACTGCTCATCAGTCCGTTCCATCCTCCTTTATGGCTGTGAGCGAGACATGGCCATTGACGGTGAAATACATGGAAAGATTAGCTGTCTTTTATCATAGGTGACTGCGCTCTATCTCCCGTGTGAAGTGGTGTAATAGGGTGAGCAATATTGAGTTTAAGCGTCGAGTGCTACTGGGTAAAGAGGGGAAATCAATCGACGATGCTGTGAAATTACATCGACAGAGATGGTTAGGACATGTGTTTCGTATGCCTAGTCATCGCCTTCCTCGACGGGCGGGCAATGTTAGCTGACATAGGGTCAGGTTAGAAAAGAGCTAACGGTGGTCAAACCAAAACATGGTTTCATCAGTCAATGAAATGTACAATAGTTAGTCTAAGCCACATAGGAAGGTGTAGACTCCCTTACTGGTGGCAGTCCTCGGGACGGTAAAAACCAGTGGTTGGAAACAATTGGTGACATGGCTCGAAATCGTTCTTAATGACAGTGCAGATGCATCCACTCCTTGTGACTTATGATTTCCAATGGAATTATGTTGTTCTTCGTTATTACTATTCCTTTGTCTCACACCTCTGTTTACTGTCTCTGTTATGCATTGCTTCTACTTTCTTCTCTTTCTTTGTATGCTACATGGAGTGTGAAGACTTGAACTTCCGCACATTGGTGCGAAATTCTATGTCGAAAACAGACAGACAAGAGGGTTATGAATAGAATTCACCTAGACCAAGGGAGAGAGAAAGGTAGAACAAACTTCTTTTGTTGTATGCAAAGACTAGGATTGTTCTCTCGAATTCCCATAGCTTCGACTAAGTGTTAGAGACGGGTTCTCATTCCGTTTGAAAGACTCGATGGAATGCGATAGATAACTTTGAAGGCGCTTCTGCTGTCCACCTGGTGACCACTGTCAATCAAAAGAGCCAAAATACACCTTCTCATAGATTTTTTTGACCTTTTCCGAACTGTGAAGGAAGCTGCTCATTAATGCATTTGTTAAGCTGTCTAGTTGTTCGCCCTATATAGATAGCTTTCTGCACAGAAGCAACTAAATTTATATATATACATGGAAGTGGCACAGGTAGCTTATCTTTCACTTGAGCTGGAAAATGACAAACAAAAGGGTGGCGGTAGTATAAGTCCGTTTTATCGCTCCCGATAATCTCTGATGTGTAAGACTTCGCTAGCCAGGTCATGAACAGTTGTTTCTTTTTAACTGTTATTCTTATCACCTGCATAAACCTTATTATCAATATTTTTATCATTATAATCATGGTTATTAATGATATTCAAAACAGTTACCACATTATTATCATTATTATTTGATCCACAAAATCACCGTCATTGGCTAAAAATTTTTATATATAAGTGTATGTAAATTAGAGTAAAGCCTGATGCAGTTCTAATTGAAAACAATATTGTTCGCTTATATGTCTTCTTCTTGTATTATAAATGGGAATATTTAAAGATTTGAAAAGACATTTCAGTCTTCAGTGATAGAATCGCTTTATCAGCAGCAACATCATGGACAAGTGATACATGAGAATGGTTACCGTCTAGCTTGTGATTAATCAATAGACTCTTTAAGATTACTTTAGAAACATTCACGTTCAGTCTCTCTTGACTCTTTTTTCTTCCCAAGGCGGTTTGCTGCTCTGATCGTATTCATTGTTGTCCAGAGAAAACAATTTGTGATGTAGAAAAGGAGATTTGTCTTAATGCGTCAGGTGATCCTGTGGCTGCAATGGAACCGAAATCTGTTCCCAATAATAATAATAATGATAACACATTACATTCACTTATTACTATTTGTTCTGATAAGAAATCAGCTTGCATAGGTGGAACATGTTGTCCTGGCGTGGATGATCAATCTTCACTTTGTTGTCCTCATGAAAATGTATGTTATGATATACTTGTTTTTTTGGTGTTATGTCTAGTTACCACAGTTTTTCTGTCTATGTTGTTATTTGGTTTTAAAGGGCATTTCGAAACATCTATCGAGTCACATCCGAATGGTCTAGTGGACAACGTCTTGAGCTCGGCTTCTACTCGGTAGGTCCAGGGTTCGAATCCCGGTGGTTGCATACTTGTGAAGATATGGGTCATTGGTTGAATCATTTGGAATTTCCGCTGATGGGTGGATAGGCTAGAGTACCGCTCTGCCTACTCCAGTCTGGGCAACTGGGTAGTATCATCAGCTTCTCACTCGGTAATTGTAACTCAGCCTAGTATACGAGAAAGCAGGTTCCGGGTAACTGAGGTTAATCAATGGGGTATTCCCAGTCGAGAAAGCAATTCGGAATAAGGCCGACTTCTTACAGCATGTCTGCACAGTTATACTAAATCAGAGGGAATCCTTATTCTTTAGTATTCATCGTGCAGACGAAAAGAACAGTTTATGACAGTTGGCGGATGATGACTAGCAGTGGAATCAAGTCAGGATGCGCATTTCCTCCTGTCTGAGACTCGTCAACTGGATGTACCTGAATTCCCAAGTGAGTGGTGGTGTTCTTCTGCATCAAGTATGAGTAATTATTTAATTGAATTTGGACTTTCGTGTTGATTGATTGGACAGAAGTTCTCCACCTGAGGTCTGTGGGTGTGGAATGTCGTACTGTTGGGGAGTAGGGGTGTAGCGGCTGAAGGGTGTTTCCTTCAAATGACTAGCGGGCCAGTTATGCTGTCTCTCCTCTCTGGAGTTGGGATACGGAGTTAGAAAAAGTCAGCACCGAAAATTTTACCTACCAACTTATGTTTCCGTGGGGGTCCATAGCCGGTAATGAGGTCTTAAAAAGGAATCAACTACAAAAACCAATTCAGACAGGTCGTCTGTGACCGGTCCCAATCACTTTTCCCCTGGACATTGCCGTTATGGAACACTAATGCTGTTTCCTTTTTACATACCGTACCTCAGGAAGAAAACCTACTCCGAAGATATAGGGAGCTGGGCCCACACACTTTCAAAAGCAGAAAAAGTTCTACTGTAATTAGAAAAAAATAAATCTTTTACTAATATTCTACTTCTGTTGTTTTCAGGCTGTCTGCTGTGGTGACGGTAAGCATTGCTGTCCTGAAGGTACAGTTTGTGATCCGACCGTTGGTGGATGCAAACCTCAAGAAACGCAACCTCCCAAGCCTTCATCTCTTCCATTATTTAAGAAGATTACCGCTTTAAGCGTTAACTCGAAAGGTGTTCATGATGATAATGATGTTGATGAGAGTTCAGTGTCGAATGTATTTACTCAATTATGCCCTGGTGGTAAATCAATGTGTCCTGATACATCAACTTGTTGTAAATTAAGTCAAGGCGGTGGGTATGCTTGTTGTCCAACTCGTAATGTAAGTCTATAAAGAAAGTGTTATGTAACACCGGTATATTTTTCACTAATTTTTGAAGCTAAGCATATGTTTGATAATTTTAAGATAATTCTCTGTTTTTGTTGATAGGTCGGCTTCCCTTACATTTCAAGTGTATCATAGGACTTCATAGACACACCACGGTTTCATGCTGTTCTCCGGAGTCCCTATTAGCTGGTCGGTTCCGGGATTTCCTATAAGATTTCTTCTGCTTGTCACCCTCAAATGCTTGTTCAACTCATCATTTTGTGTTCGGATTCTGCTGGAAGTTGACAGTATGTTACTTAGTTTAGTGATGGCTAGTATTGAGATCCTTGGGGTTGGTGGTTCAGTGGTAGAACACTGGCGCCAACCAAGCAGGTACTCCGGAATTCGATTCCTGGTTGACGCGTTCCTAAACTTCACTTAACTGTTAGTAAGCTCGTCAAAGAGGGAAGGTTGAGCCTGTGGCTAGCAACCTCATTCCGTGAGTAAGAGCTACTGCTGCTGAAACTTCGAAACTCTAACTTGAACCTCTCCCCGCCATATATTCCACCGGGAACGCGAAGGAATCAAGTAAATTTTAAAAAAATAGCAGTGGGATTCAGGATCCACAAATCATCCTATTCGTGACTTGTCAGTTGAATGTAGCTGTTTCTCCAGTGCGTGATAGTACTCGCAACGGGACTTTAACATGATCACTCACTAGGATCACAGTTACACACATCCAACTCTGAAGTTACAGACAGGATAAATCATGCATCCTGGATTATTCAAATGCTGTCCGACATCAGTCAGTTGTTTTTGACTGTTGTGCCCGACCGAAAGCTGCTACCTTGACGTGGTGGTCGGGCTTGAACACCGCAATGACCTAATCAAGCTATACTGGCTGAGACTTATGTCTCTTGAGGTTCTACCATGCCAGGCAGGTTGTTTGGATAGCGGTTAAACAAAAAGCAGCTACCCAATCCAACATCATGTCCAATACAAAATCACAAAATTTCATGCCGGATCGGCCGTGGCCCGGATTAACAACGACCGCGCTTCCTGCTGCCGTGTCACAGGGCGGGAGTGATAAATCTGCTACTGAGACACACAAAACAAAAAGAACGAACAAAAACAGGCCGCGTGTGACCGGCCTCAAGCAGTTGTCCCCTGGGCTCTGCGGTCACGCAACCAACTTCCACGGTGTGGGCAGCCGGGAAGTAACAATCGCCCTCACAATCCGAAATGCACACGAAACCTCTCTATTACTCACTCATCTTTGTCTTCATCTTCATCTCTATCATCTTGCCTTCCTTCCACTGATGCAACTCCTCGACTTGATAGCTCTCCACTTCCTCTCCACTCTGCGTCCACTAAAAACGATGGAAGCCAAAAAACCACCACCGACAGCCTCTTAAAGCCGCGCCACCAATTTCATATAGGAGCTCTTAATGTTAGGACACTTTGCCAAATAGGACAACAAGCATCACTAGCCAAGACCCTGGCATCACGAGCCATTGATGTATGCTGTGTTTCAGAAACACGCATACAAGACCCAAGTGTGGTTATTCACCTAACCCCACCTGGCCAACAGGTTGAATCTGCAAAATTCACCTTGAGGGTGTCAGGAGATGCCACAGCTAGTTCACGAGGATTAGCTGGCGTAGGGATAGCTTTGAGTACTAGGGCAGAAAAGACATTGCTTGACTGGATCCCGGTAGATAGCCGAATGTGTGCTGTCCGCCTGAACGGATCAGTAAGAAGGAGGAAGGACTGCACTACTCGCCGATGCCTTTTCGTAATCTCCGCCTACGCCCCCACTGACTGCAGTTCAGATGAAACGAAGGATGAGTTCTACCAAAAGCTGTCTAGTTTGGTGGAAAGGCTAAACGCTCAGACATAGTCGTTCTAGCTGGTGACTTTAACGCTCAAGTAGGGAAATTGTGTCAATCTGAGAAGGATGTCGGTGGCACCTATGGAGCTCCGTGCCAGCGAACCGACAACGGTGACCGTCTCCTACAGTTCTGCTCTGATAATCATTTGTTTCTTGTAAGCACTAACTTTAAACACAAGGAGAGACACTGTTTGACTTGGAGACCCCCTTCATCAAACCAACGCTGGACACAAATAGACCACATAGCAATAAGCTATCGTTGGCGTGGGTCGGTAGGAGATTGTCGCTCCTTCTGGAACACGTGCGTAGATACCGACCATGCACTGGTCCGCGCTCGGGTGTGCTTACGACTGAACGGACGTAGGAAACAGCTGGCGGTAAAACCATCACGTCCCCAGCTCGATCAGGAAACTAAATCCGTATTTCAGGAAGAACTAGCTAAACACATATCTGTGTTCGACAGCTGTGCTCACCCTGAAGAAGCTTGGAAAAATATCCAGGCAGCCATAGATACAGCTGTAAAAGCTGTGAATAAGGTAAACCCAAAGGTGAGTAAAAACCACTGGATCTCCACCGCCTCATCCGAACTGATAGATGCTAGAAGACTTATTCCGGCGAGCTCCGAATTCAATGAGGAGCGAAAGCTGCACAAGAGGAAACTTACGAAAAGTCTCCGCAAGGACCGTGAACAGTGGTGGGCGACAAAAGCCAAAGAGATGGAGAAAGCTTTGAGGATAGGCAACACCAGGCAACTCTTTGGACTCATCAGGGAAACGGGTGGGAGAAGACAAATCATCAGTGAGACAATCTCGGAAAAAAATGGCACTATAATTAGCTCCCAGGATAGACGACTGGATCGTTGGAAAGAGCATTATGAGGAGCAGTTTAATTTGCCCACAGCCACGCTCAACCTTCCGAGCATCCAACACCTCCCTGAATGGGATATAGACACAGGTCCTCCGTCACTAACTGAGGTTACTAAAGCTGTCACCAATCTGAAACTAGGCAAAGCAGCGGGACCTGATGGAATGACTCCAGAGGTATTTAAGTACGGTGGAGACAGCTTACTGTCCGGATTAACTGAGGTACTAGGCAGCGTCTGGGAATCAGAAGAAGTCCCATCGGGTTGGTGTAAGTCACTGATTATCCCCATATACAAGAAGGGAGACAAGTCTTCCTGTGATAATCACAGAGGGATTAGCTTGACTAATATAGTATCTAAAGTCTTAGGCTCAATAATCATGCGTAGACTGAGTGGTGCTCGGGAAGCACAAACACGAGAGAGCCAGGCAGGCTTTAGACCAGGAAGAGGGTGTATTGATCATATCTTCACCCTCCGACAGATTCTAGAACATAGGCATTCCTACCGGCGTCCAACAGTCATTATATTTCTTGACCTAAAGGCAGCATTCGACTCTGTCGATCGGGAAGTTCTCTGGAGATGCTTGGCTGTAAAGGGAATTCCAAGAAAATATATTGCACTGATTAAGGCACTCTACTCGTACTCATACAGCCAGGTGAGGGCTTACGGCGAGCTGTCATCTGAACTGATGACGACCAGTGGTGTCCGTCAAGGATGCCCATTATCTCCTTTTCTATTCAACTTCATCATAGATGTGTTAATGGACTTAACCCTAGGTGACTTCAGCGACTCAGGGATTGACTTGCTACCGGGGAATAATCTCGTTGACTTGGAATATGCAGACGATATAGTCCTTCTAGGCGAAGACGCTGACGAAATGCAGAGTCTTCTAAACACCTTGAGCCGCAATCTACGAATGTTTGGCATGCGATTCGCTCCCGCCAAATGCAAGATGATGTTACAGGACTGGACTACATCGACGCCTAGTTTAAAAATAGGAAGTGAAGTGGTAGAGCACGTTGACCGCTTCACTTATTTGGGAAGTACCATCAGCCCCAACGGGCTGATCTCTGACGAAATCTCAGCACGAATACAAGGGGCTCGTTTCGCATTTGTTAGTTTACGCCGACTCTGGCGTAGACGAGATGTTCGACTATCGACCAAAGGGCGGGTGTACTGCTCATCAGTCCGCTCCGTCCTCCTTTATGGTTGTGAGACCTGGCCACTGAGAGTGGAAGACATGAAAAGACTAGCTGTCTTTGATCATAGGTGCCTGCGTTCTATTTCCCGTGTAAAGTGGCATAATAAGGTGAGCAACATGGAGGTTAGGCGTAGAGTTCTAGGTAAACAGGGGAAATCAATCGACGAAGTCGTGAAGCTACAAAGACTGAGATGGTTAGGACATGTGTTACGTATGCCAAGCCATCGCCTCCCTCGACGAGCAATGTTAGCGGATATAGGGTCAGGCTGGAAAAAAGCTAGCGGCGGTCAAACAAAAACTTGGCATCAGTCAATGAAATCCACAACAGTTGGTCTAAGCCACGTAGAAAGGTGTAGACTTCCAGGCTGGGGTCCTCGGGACGGTAAAAATCTATGGTTGGAAACAATTGGTGACATGGCTCAAAATCGTTCTCAGTGGCGCAGATGCATCCACTCCTTGTGACTTATGATCTTCAATGAAACTGTTTTGTATTTCTTTATTACTCCTTTGTCTCACACCTCTGCTCACTGTTTCTATTATGCTTTTCTTGTACTTTCTTCTCTTGCTTCGCGTGCTACACGGAATGTGGCGACTTGAACTTCCGCACATTTGTGCAAAGTTCTATGTCGAAAACAGACAGACAGACAGTTGTGTTCTAAAGTTCTTTTGTGTGGTATCAGGAAAGTGTCACATAGCAACAAATGGCTTAGTTAGTGGTAGTAACGTCTTCCACTTCGCCATTCACTACTACTAATGGAGATTCGGTTAGACTAGGCACTAGTCTAGAATGTGCTTCACACAAGATTGTCGATACATCTTGCCTAAGAATACCAATAAAAGTGCTAAACTTGGATCTAAGCTATTTTGTTGATTGATCACTAGAGTTTAATGCTCTAATGCGTAGTGTACAGTACACTACAGTTCTAAGTGTAAGAGAGACCTTATATGAAGGTCGTCATATTACATAGATCCTCCGTGTTGTGCACTACTTCTGCCCTTCCTTCGTATTATGTTTCTTTGTCTCTGCCGCAATAATAGTTGATTTCCTCTCTTTGTCGTCTATATCTCTCTGTTTCTATCCGCTACTTGATATTTTTGTGCACCGATGGACATCTGTCCATATACTACTGATAAATCTTGTCAGTAGCACACAGGCACACACCACACAATGTCATTTCGCTTATCGATTGACATGTAGATATTCGAAAGAACACATCTACAATTTAGACAGCAACACTGGTGCCTATCTGCCAGGATCATTTCACGCACGTATAGAACGGTTGTGATGATACTTTTTTATAACAATTAATCTCCAGCCATTACGCTTCATCATGTTTTCAAAAATAACTTGTTATCTAGAAGACATTAAAAGTGTAAAGTGTTGTAATGGAAAAATAGACGAAACATTGCAGAAATTTGTAAACAAGGCATCGCTTCAGGATGGCCTCATTTTGTGGTATAAGTTCATAAAACAAGAGAATAGAGATAAGAATTGTTTTTCCATCTTTATGCGGATTTCTGAATCATTTCATCAAGAATCCTTGGCATTCTGTTACTTACTTTGGTGGTATTTTATTATCATTCACTGTGTAGGGCCGCCCCTCCAAGCTTTCGGAGTTCCAGTAACAATGGTATTGCTACTTTAACGGGTTGGGGTTGGTAGCCTTACTCTTAACCTCCAGTCATTTTATGAGTTTACTATTGATTAGTAAACTAGGCGAGGTTTAGGAGTAATTGGTTGCGTCTTCCGGGACTCAAACTTGGGCAGTTTATGTGATTGGCAGGTATCCTGCAGCTAAACTATCAACTCACTGGATAGCATGTTTATAAGACCAAAAATACCCATTGAGTTATGAGGAAAACCAGGCTGTACAGTCGTATTCATGTTTACCAAGAACGTATAGTAGTCTGTTGGTGAGTAGCACGGTGTATATATATATATATGTGTGTGTTTGACAATTGATACAATCACTAAGACGTAGTTTTTTAAGATGAAAAGAAATTACATAATAGCCAATGATATAATAGAAGTAAGAGTTTGAAGTTCGATAAGGTCAGAAGCATTATCGAACGAGAAGCAGGATAGTTAAATGTCAACTTGATGCAAGTATGAACAAGCTGAGGAAATGCACAAAAGGAACATGCATGGGTGATAATATTGAATTAATTACTAAAAGTAAAAGCAAATATTAGGAAAGAGATTAAAACATAGTAGAATAAGAGACTGAATAAACGTTTTCTAAACACATAGAGTTCGCCAGTGTCCATGACATACACAAATGCTGAACCACCTGACCGATAGCTACTACTTTGGCCTGGTGGTCTACTGGCCTGCACATCGCAATGACCCAACAAGCTACACTGGCTGGAACTATTGTTCCTGCAGGTCTTTCTATGCCAGGAATGTTGTTAGGACTAAAAGCAGTTACTGGCATAGTGTAAGAATGTTTTCTTTTTACACTATGCTGGGGGTTTGTGGGCGAAGTCGTACTCCTGTGGAATAGGGATTTAATAGTAGTAAGGTGTTACCCTCAGCATGCCAGCCTAGCTATGCTGTCTTCCCACTGTGGAGAGAAGGGGTTGATCCCAAAATTTATACTTCCCAATCAACTTACCCTACGCTGGTCCGAAACTGACGACAAATTTACTAATACGGAACCAATCCATGCAAGCAGTTCATACAGGCTATGTGTGACTAGCCTCAAGCAGTTGTCCCCTTGGGCTCTGTGGTCGCACAACACTAACCCTCTTTCTGTTCCATTTACGTACCCGAAGAATCAATCAACTTTCACGGTGTGGGCAACCAGGAAGTAATGACTTTCTCCCACACATTTTTGAAAGTACATGAAGCCTTCCTGAGTCAGTCAAGTGCTGAACCATTCAGTCTCACCTTGTAGATAATTTTTAAAAGACAACGCTAGTGAAGCTGCGGGGCTTAAGTTTACCAGGCGCACTCGATATTGGAGCTAGTAATTTGGTTAATTTTCTCTATCTGAAATGCTTTATTGTAGTGTAGTGCAATTGAAGAATTTTATAAATGTATATGTTTAATCTTCTTCTTTGTACCTTCTCTATATATTTATTTGTGTAGGCTACATGTTGTAGTGATGGTATTCACTGTTGTCCATTTGGCACGAAATGTGATTATAAGACATCGTCATGTGTAAAAATTGAATCCGATACTGTTACATCATCATCATCGCCAACTGATACAGTTGATGATAAGGAATTCCGTAATCAACACAATCTCGTATCTGTTAAAATGCATGGACAACATGTTTGTCCGGATCATCAAGCTATGTGTCCAAATGATAATACTTGTTGTCAATTACCTGATAAATCCTGGGGTTGTTGTCCGCTGAAAGATGTAAGTTTTGCTTACTTATCATGTATGTGTGTGCGCGTGTGTTTATAAGGTGCAGACTTCATTCTCTAAATGTTATTTCTATTCTTTTGCGTTTTGAGTGGAATATAAGGCTTCAATACTGATGTGTGAAGTTTCATTAGCAGTGATGTTTGTTTTTACGAGGCTAGAGGTCGCTAACTTCGTGTTCAAGTTTGGATCTTTTTCGGGTTCACCACTGGCTAAGCGAGAATTAGAAGTGCGTTGGCTGGAGATTGAACTTCGGATCACAGACAGGCTTTAGATCAGGAAGAAGGTGTATTGATCATATCTTCAACCTTCGAGAGATTCTGGAGTATAGACATACTGTCGGCGTCCATTTATTATTATTATTGTTCCTTTGGGTTCCTAGTGGAACATAGGACTTCAACTGCACGTCTCCACTTACTTCTGTCTTCTGTTGTACTTTTCACCTGTATCCATGTTAGTCCATAGTGACTGTTTCAACTCCTTTTCAAACAATCTCCTCCATGTCACCCTTGGACGTCCCACTCGTCGCTTACCTTTCGGGTTCCACTCGAGCAATGGCCTGACGCGCGATGTCACCCAGCGGCCTCCTCAGCCACGAGTGTCCCATACGTCTCCACTTTCTCCTGCATATTTGTTGGCTGGCAATTGGTTCTTGCTTTGTTTGTTCCCATAATTCCTTGTTGGTGATTCTTTCCGGCCATCTGATCTTCAGTATAGAGCGAAGACAGTTGTTAATAAAGGTCTGCAACCTTTTGGAAATATTCTTTTTGACCCGCCAAGTTTCTGATCCGTATAGAAGAACTGACTTTACGTTTGTATTGAAAATCCGAATTTTGTTGGTGATGCTGAGTGACGAAGATTTCCAGATTTATTTCAGGTTGATGAATGTGTTTCTCGCCTTCCCGATTCTCGATTTGACATCCTCATCCGCTCCTCCTGTAGTTGAGACAATACTCCCTAGATAAGTGAATGAAATAATCTCTTTCAAATCCCTCCCGTTGATGGTGATTGGCGTTGGATGTTGTTGCTGTTGTTGGTTGGTTATTTTCATAACCTCCGTCTTGTCTATGTCCATTTGGAGTCCTGTCTTCTCCGGCTGCTTCTTCGACCAGTTTGTCAGTTTTCGCTTGTAAGTCTTCGATTGTGTGTGACATCAAACATAAATCATCCGCGAAATCCAGGTCTTCTAGGTTCTTCACGTTGGTCCCGGATATCCCTGTCTTCTCGTTTCCCACTCACTGTCTGACGCATAATCCAGTCAGTCCACCACAATTAGGAATATCATTGGTGATAATAAGCACCCTTGTCTGACTCCTGTGTTTACTCCAAACACCTCTCTGAGTTTTCCGTTGTGGATGACTTGACATGTGCTGTTGTCGTACGGCTGTTGAATAAGTTTGATGAATATTCGGGGGTCAGCGTCCATTAGTCGCCGTATTTCTTGACCTAAAGGTGGCATTCGATTCTGTCGACTGAGAGATACTATGATGATGTCTGGTTGTGAAGGGAATGCCTAGAAAATGTATCGCAGTGGATCAGGCGAGAACCTAAGGAGAGTTCTCATCTGATGTGGTGACAACCAGTGGTGTCCGTCAATTTGGTGGCATGCCCACTGTCACCATCCCTGTTTAATTTCATCCTATATGTACTAATGGACTTAACCTAACCCTATGTGACTTCAGCGACTCAGGGATTGACGTTTTACCATCAGAGAGTAATAGTCTTGTTGACTTAGAATATGCATATGATATAGTCCTACCTTCAAGGTGAGGATGCTGGAAAAATAGCACAGTCTTCTGAACACATTAAGGAGCAGCAATCTTTGAATGTTCGGCCTGTGATTCGCTGCCTTTGTCAAATGTAAGATGATGCTACAGGACTGGACTACATCGACTCTTAACTTAAAGATATGTAGTAGTGAAATCGTTGGTAGAGAGAACATGTTGACCATTTCACTCAATTATTTGGGAAGTTGCGTTAGTCAACGCCAGTGGATTGATCACTAATGATATTTCAGCACGGGTACAGAATGCTCATCTGGCATGCACCAACTTACACTATCTCTGGTTTAGTAGACGGGATATCCGGCTTACTGACTGTTGACCGAAGGGCGTGTGTACTGGCTCAGAAGTCCTGGCCCCGTCCTCCTCCTTTATGACTAGGGATTGAAAGTGGAAGATATGAAAAGCCAGTCCAACTATTTGTCTTTGATTATAGGTGTCTGCGTTCTATCTCCCGTGTTAGTTGGTGTGATATAATAAGTTGAGCGATATTGAGGTTAGGCATCGGTCGATTACTAGGTCAATCAGTACTCGCTGCTGGTTTTTCAGTGATTTGCCAACTGAATTCAGTTCATGATCGAATCCATGCAAACTGAAGCTTTTGATCACTCTGATCACTGTGAAGACCGCTTATACCATTTTTGCAAGGTGTTACGATAAGTGAGGGATATTTAAAACCAAAAAAAAACCAAACGAAACAGTTTTATTGGATGGAGGATTTCATCACGAGCTGACGTCAGTTAGAGAACCACTGGAAAACCTGCCAGGGAGTACTGGACAGCTGTTTCGTCCTAGTTCGGAACTCTTCAGCAGTACGCACCCACAGGGGTTCGACTCCAGGTTTACCAGTGGTTCCTTAACCTGTGTCAGCTTGTAACAACAGAAGACAAGGGCCAGGCAACAGGTCGTTCATTAAGGAAATCAACACATATTTATAGATTTTCATGTACATATTATAGATTATTGTTAACAGAAAAACACAGTCTTCTGATTGGTAGTTGTTTCTCACAGAGAGTTAACCTTGCATCCCTTTTTGGCTGTTTCTTGAATGTCAGATCATCTATATGTTAACTGTATCCGCCTGAGCAAAATCAGTCTTTGTTCATATTTTCTCACGACCAATATTGAGGACATAAACATTGATGTAAATTACTATCCACCAATTTTGACTAACAGCCATCTCTCACCACAAGCTCATGATGAAATCCTCCATCCAATTAAACAAAATCCCTACAAAAAGCAATACTTGAAAAACAGTTTTAGTTTTTAAGTTATTCAAACATCCATATGTGTCAAAAAATATTTGTTGAATCAGATGAGATCACATCCGATCAAATCGGATCAGAGATGGTCATATTTGAATTCAGATCATCTTTATTATTTAATATCTATCAACTGTTTAAAAGTTCGTTTGAAGATAGCTTAGGATTTTGTGTGTTAATTTTTATCTTACCCCCATATACGTGAACTAATATAGTTATTTGGACGTTGAAGAAACCAGAGAAGAGGCATAAACAGAGATACACATAGACAACGAGGGAGAGAGAGATGTATGGATCATACGATAACACTCAGACGAAAAAAAAGATATAGTACACATTACCCTTTATTTTAAGACGAAACAAACTCACGATTGGTATGAAAGAACATTGATCAGTGATCAGTACTAGTTAGTTGTTGATCAAACTCCAGTTCAGACAATAACAAAAAAAAAAAATATATTTGGAATGATCATAGGTATATGTACTTAAAAAGCTTTCGGCATCTTTAGTATGATATTGTGATACACAGGAGTAGTATTAATAACTCGTGATGATAATGATAATGATGGTGGTGGTGGTGCTGGTGGGTGTGTTTCGAGCAGAATTTGTTTACTACTTGTAAACATCCTCAGCGTATAAAATTCATCAGATGAGACTTCATAATTTGAACTGTGTAGTTGTGCTTCACTCCTGTTTGTTTTCCCGTTTTTTCCCCTCTCTTTCACTTTGAATCATACCGCTTATGATAGGTAAAGGTAGGTAGGATGGTCGGGGGTGGGTGCCTTGCGCTGCGAGTTGGCCACCCCTCCGCACACCTCTTGAAATGCTCCCATATGACCGTGCGTCTTACATAGCCTCTCCTGAGGAAGTCCTACTCACTGCCTTCACGTGGCGGAGGTGTTTCTCACCAAAGTGAGAGGGCGAAAGCGGATGCCTGGCGCTCTCCACCGGGTTGACTGTCCATTGGATGACAGTCTAGGGGAGATGGCTAAACCCTGATTCCAAACCTGCAACGATTGGCGTATGAAGCTCACTGGAGCTCACCGGCAGACGTATGGACAAAGGGCTTGTTGGATGTCCTGGATGTCTGGCCCCATTCAAAAAGGCGTATGAACCGGACTCCGGTCATCGGCTGCCAATGGATAGTGGACTCCTTACTCCACTCCTACTGCCTTGTAGGTCACACTTGGTTGTGTAAAGGCTAGAGCTGCACTCCCAAACAAAAGGCCGAGCGATTCTGGGGAAATCACTCGTACCAAATTCCCATGAAACTTCATGAACTCTCTTACAAATTGCCGCGCCTGGGCAGCGATGATTCGAGACGTTCATGAAGCCGGCTCATCCTCCCGTAGGAGATAGCCGAAGTAAAGTAAGTAAGTAGGTAAGTAGGGGCTTAGTTCAACATTTATGCGATTGAGTCAGAAGTTTGACTAGGGATATGATTTTATAAGTATCAGTAATGTATGCTCGAAACCTTGTCATATCCAGTTATTTATTAATACTGTACCATCACTGTGCGATACTTAAAAAAATCAACTTGTCTAGGTGCGGAATCGCATTCTATCACAGTTCGTGCCCAAGTTCTATACTGAGATTTTACGTTTGACAAGAGAGTTTGAAGATTTAAATAAAGAAATAAGGGAAATATCGGAGAAAAACACTTACCTACTGAAATGTTTAGAAAGCAAAAGAATTGAGCGAAAAAGAAATATTTTGCTATTCATGAGCTAACATCAATTACAGAACCATTGGAAAACTTGCCAGAGAGTATTGGACAGCCATGCTGTTTTGTCAGCCTAATTTGTGATTCTTCAGCAGTACTCAACCATCCAACTGGCGTTTGAACCCAGGACCTTCTGCTAGCAAGGCCAATCAGCTTGTAGACCATTCATTCAGCCACTGAGACCCAGTCCAATGGCCGTCCCATGAATTCTAATTTCTGCAACTTCAC